TTCTTAGAAGCAGAGCGTAAAGCGCGCTTAGGTGTATAAGATTCTAATAAACTGTTTAAATATGTTGGTGCATAACCGTTAATAATCTTAAAAGTAATTAGTAAGACCTTAAAAGTTATTCTTTGCTTAATAGGCAGCCAATGCAATTGGCGTAAAACAGGAGTTATGTTCTCTGCGCTTACTTTTAGTTATTAGTCTGGCAGCTGAATTTTGCAAGCGCTGCAACTTATTTAATTGCTTTGTAGGTAAACCATGCAAGACGCTATTGCAATAGTCTAATTTAGAGGTCACAAAAGCATGTACTAGGGGTTCTGTGCTCGTTTGATCAAGATACTTCCTAATTCTACCAATATTTCTAATATCAAAATCAAAATATAACCCTGTTCTTTGTGACTTGACTAATCACAGGTAACCTAGGCTATCCACTTTTATAGGGAAATGTATGTAGTCAATATATTGTGCTAAAATTTTGTAGGTTTCGCTAAAAGAAACTTCGAGTATATGAGAACCAGAAGTGTATTTACCGTTTCATATTAAGAGTCCTAGAATGTAAGTCAATGCGAAATATCTTTTCGGTTACAGTTTGAAATCGACGTCTTTAATTTCTGAAAATCAGTCGCGTGTACGTCTTGCCAAAAATTAGGACCAGTTATCGTGGTGGTGTTGAATTATCGAGCAAGATCCGTGTGCAGCAAAGACAGATATTTCAGCCAAAAGAACCATGACAATGCCTGGTGACTTCCAGTTCAGTGTGTATGAATTCATGCAATCTTGTTCTGGAGTGTTCTCGAGCAGTCCTTATTGATCTTTAATCCAACTGGCAGTGGCATTGTGACATTTCTCATATCTTTTTTTCCAGAAGTCCTGCATTGTTTCCTTTGAGATGTTTTTTTCTACTTTTATTTGTTTCTTCCCCAGATCTCTGTGGTTGTTTCTGGTTTACCTGTGATAATTTGTTCTGCCAGAATTGCTGGCTACGCTTCACAAACCTCATTATTTGAGCTCTTGAGGATATTTTTTGTAGCTTATTTTCCTTCGTCAGGTTCACTTTTTCTTCACATCTGATCTTATATTTTTTTTAAACTTTCAGCTCTTTTTCCCGGAGATCGTGTCGACTGTGGGTTTAGTAGCTCCCCTAAATAATGAAACTTCTTGTCTCAGTCTTTCGGTGTCTTTCTTCAATTTCTCTCTCCATTTCGGTTCTTTCCTTTTTGTTATTGGTTTCTTCTTCCTCAATAGACGATTGTTTATTTCTGCTGTGGCAACATAGACTGGAGCGTACAATATGCTATTGATTTCTGCAATGTTATGATAGGTGTGAGCCTTTTTAATTTCACTAACATCTTTGTTTGCATATTGGAGGATATTCCAGATGATCTCGTTGTAACTGCCCATCAAAAACCAGCCAATCATCGCGCAGGAAGAAATATAATTAGGCGGTCCCTTGAAAAACTGAACATGACGGCTGCATGCAGTCAAAGAACGTAACTTTGAATTTTTGCTTTCCTAGCTACGTTATGGACTAGCAATGCATTTAAAATACTACCTATTCTTATATCGAATACCTATGGGTCAAATGATGCGTTGTGGTTTCAATTTTTCTACAAAATTATTGTGTAATGAGTGATACCTCTCTGTTCGCCGATAAACAACTAAAACTAGGACCGCCTGTTCAACTAAAACAATCCTTTGCGCACGTTTCCCAAAATCACCTGGTCCTTCGTTCTTTTGTCTGTTTTGACTTTTGTATATTCAGATGTTGTAATAATAATAATAATAATAATAATAATAATAATAATAATAATAATAATAATAATAATGGCGGCGAGTAGTGAAGTTGGATTCTAACAGCTCCGTTAGAAATCTTGTTCGACACAAAAGCAAGCCAAGCTTAGAGCACTATTATACATCCGAACAAGTATTTATATGCTTTGGCAATTGTCAAACCGAACAGGGGAGATATTTGGTGTCTTTAAGCGCAGGAAACTATAGTTTTGAGTTTACGCATTTTCTGTTACAATTTTATTTCTATTTTTTTCTACTTAATTCAATTGACTACCCGAGGATGGAAGAAAGCAGCTTTCTCCAATCTCAGAGCAAACGAAGACTCAAATGGATGTCCGTCTCTTGCACAGTCCAAGTACCTGGATAGACACAACGCTGCTTTGAAAGTGTTTTTCTTTGAGATGCTAAGAGATCTCAAACTGGCTGATAGTACACCCCCATGGTTTTCTRATGTCAAACCCAAACCACTCTACAAATCAACTGACGCTGAAGCATACTGGGATGTACCTGTATATGCTGACCACATGTATGTACGATCTAACCGTGTGGACGCGCGTTTCATCGACCACAATAACAAGAAAGTACTCATGGTGGAAATGAGCTGTCCGTGGGTTAACAACCGAGAAAAGAAAGACAAAGAGAAGACGAAGAAGTATGGAGCACTTAGACTTGAGCTCACAAAACAACACCCAGGATACACGATCTTGCAAGTGAACCTCATTTTGGACGCTCTTGGAGGATGGTCTAAAGAGATGGAGCCTGAGATGAAGAATATCTTTGGAGCAAGATACAAAGATGTATTACTCAGAATGCAGAAAGCGGTATTAAGCTGCACAGTGAACATTGCAAGAACATTCAAATTAATCACATCTTAAGGACATTTCAAACATTCCAAGTATTTAAACTGCATCTTAAGAACATTAATAATTGGTTTTAAGTGATTGTATATATTATTAATCCTGTCATGCTGGTAGGTTACGAAATTACGCCCTATCTAGCTTACCTAATTAGCATTCAAACGTGTTTACTGCTGATAATAATAATAATAATAATAATAAAGAGTATTTTATATAGCGTCAATACCGCCAGGCTTCAACAACGCTTTACAATATATTGGTCATGAGAAAAGAAATTAGGATAAAACTAAAAAGTAGGTTTATATCTGAAGCTTAAATCAAATTTATTAAAGATATTAGTTTAAATTGATCATTAAACTTATCAAGAACTGCAATAATATATATTTCATTCATTACACTTCATTTCAAAATATTACATTTCATAACACATATTGCATATAAAATTTCAATATAAACTTTATGTAAACAGATCAAAAACAGTCATCAAGGAAATTAAGAATTAGAAATTAAAACATATTTGATAAAATGCAAACAACTATCTTAAAAATATATAAATAAATAAAAAATCCCTGCCAATACTCATTTTCATAAAAAGGCATCCTTAAAGAGCATTGTTTTTATATGATTTTTAAAAGAGGAAAGAGAATCACACTGTCTTGTTTCTGCAGGTAATGAATTCCAGAGATGAGGAGCAGCAAAAGAAAAGGTTCTCAGACCATAGGTTTTAAGATTGTAGGTCTTTTTAACAATAGTGTTAGACGAAGATGACCTCAGAGAGCAAGAAGGGATATAAGGGCAGACCAGGTCAGAAAGATATGAGGGCGCAGACCCATGAAGGGCTTTGAAGGTTATTAGAAGTATTTTGAAAATGATGCGCTGTTCAACAGGCAGCCAGTGCAGATCAAAGAGGATTGGCGTGATATGGTCTTGATGACGCGATAAGGAAACAAGTCGAGCAGCTGAATTTTGAACGAGCTGAAGTTTCCTTAAAGAGTTCTTAGGCAATCCATATAACAAAGAATTACAAAAATCGAGTTTCGAGGAGATGAGGGCATGAACAAGGGTCTTACATGAGCTCTGACTAGGATATTTACGGATTTTCCAAATATTGTGTATGTTAAAGAAGCAAGACTTGCAAACGGATCTAATATGCTCATCAAGAGAAAGCTTATTATCAAGAATAACACCAATGTTGCGAGCTGCAGGAGAGGGAGAAATATCAGAACCTGAAATGTGTATAGAATCAACAGCAGGTCTTGGTCGATGACTATTTGATAAAACAACTATCTAAGTTTTATCTGAATTCAGCTTTAGCATATTCTTGGTCATCCATTTCTTGATGTCAACAACACATGCCTCAACCGCGCACCTGGCATCCTTGGCCTCTAGCTCTGATGAGGTCGAAAAAGTTGTAAAGCTGTGTGTCATCAGCATAGAAATGAAATTCTAAAATATGCTTCCGAATAATGTCACCAATCGGTCCAATGTAAAGTAGAAATAAGATTGGGCCTAATATCGAGCTTGCGGTACAGCACATTCAAATGAATGGGATTTAGAGATACTAGAGTTCACATTAACACGAAAAGACCTGTTACAAAGATATGTTTTAAACCATTCTAAGGCTCTCCCAGTGATACCATATTTATCAGACAGCCTTCGAAGAAGAATTTGGTGACTTACGGTGTCAAATGCAGCAGATAGGTCAAGAAGTAGGAAAAAAATATGCTAGTCGAATTCCGCAGTCCAAGACACACTTTACCGAATACCTTAAAAATATAAATCAACTTAATTCCATGTTTTTCACTCCTGTGACAGCATCTGAAATAGATGATGAAATTTTATCGCTATCTAATAATAAAGCTTATGGTCTATACT